CAGGATAGATTAGCTTTATAGATAAATCCAGGGAAATTATAAAGGGGGTGGAGGTTAGGGCTGTATCAATATATCGATATATCGATACGTATCAATATTCAAGGAGCATATCGTATCGAAAAATAACTTCCAATACGTATTGGGCAGACATTTTTCTTCTAATTCTGTGAAAAAGATGGGAATTTTAATCACTAAACATTAAATTTAACTTTTTAAAATTGAAACTGACCAAAAAACTATAATCATTAAGGACATAGCACAAGTTATATGATTATTAAAAAATACATAGATAATTTTATTTTAATATGCTGATTTTTCAGTCATTTAAAGTTTTAATTTGAAGTGTTATTTGTAGTAGCATTGATGCTAGATTTAACTTGGAAATAGATTATAAAACATTTAGTTTTTATGAAATTTATGCATTAAACGACTTTATAAGACTATTTTGATGGACTTGTTTAAGAATCCAATATATCACATATCGCTTTAAAAAATGTATCGTATCGTATCGAAATTTTTTGCTCAATACACAGCCCTAGTGGAGGTTCAGCACATTTTCATAGGGTGTTGCTAAAACCCTCCATACAACTTTTTTTGTCAAACAAATCCCATAGATTCATGCTAACTATTCTTGTTGTTGTGTTTTTATAAAAATTTATTGTACTATTATATATTCATGAGTCATACACAACATTTAGCCTGGAAAGAAATTTAGACACAAAATTATAGGATTTTCAATAATATTTTTATTGGAAATTTTTTCTGATTGATTTCTCTTGTTTCCAATGTTGTTTTTTTCCCGACAAAAATAACTTAGCAATGGTCAGTAATACCCCCGCTCTGATGTAAATAAACACTATCATGTTAATATACACAAGTTCAATATCAAATAAACAGATAAATTTGAAGTTGACATCAGTTTCATATCAAAATTAATCCCCCCATATGACATGCTTCAACAAAGAGTGTACTAAAATTAAGCATCTGCTATGAATAGTTAATGAGAAAACTGCGACGAAAATTTGTTATATATGAAACAGACAGACGCACAGACAAACAGGAAGTTGACATTGGATTTAAACAAAAATGTATCCCACCATATGGCATGCGTCAGAAAAGATATGTTAAAATTTCAAGCATCTGCTTTGAGTAGTTGCTGAGAAAACTGCGACAAAAATTTGTTATGTATGAAACGGACAGACGCACAGACAAACAGGAAGTTGGATTTGAACAAAAATGTATCCCAACTTATGGCATGCCTCAGAGAAGATTGTGTTTAAATTTCATGCATCTGTGATGAGTAGTTGCTGAGATAACTGCAACGAAAAATTATTATGTATGAAACGGACAGAGACGATTGTGAAGATGTGTTAAAATTTCAAGCATCTACAATAAGTAGTTACTGAGAAAACTGTGACGAAAATTCGTTACGGACAGACACACGGACACGCAGACAGACAGACATACAAGGGTAAAACAGTATACCCTACTCTCCTTCGGAGCGGAGGTATATCTAGTTATGCTATTCAGATTATGCACGCAGTGTCGAATTCGCGAGTCAAGAAAGGGGGTGGCAGTTTCGGGTCTGTGTAGGGGCCCACGGCCACATTAAAAATTGATTTATTAAACCTTGTGTACATTTTGGACACAAAAAGGGGGGGGGTGGATCTATTACAACTTCTAAGACCTTTCCGATGAGCGGGAAAACACACTCATTTTTTACGGGGTCATTCATATACGCCACCCCCCCCCCCCCCTCACAAACATGCACACATATGTGCCGCAAACAAACAAAATTTAACTTCAATAAATGCAAAGATTCTACAATCTGCATTATATCTACCACAACTTTGGCTATCCAGAAAAGTACTCTATTTTGAATAAAATTTTAACAAACAGTGTGTATAAGAGATGTTTATTCGAGCTTGCCGTAAAGGTTTGCCCTAAACGTAATCTTAATATTTTTTTAAACATTTTTTTCTCTTTCCATGGTTCATTTAGATATCAAATATTTGCTCCCCCCCCCCCCCCCCCCCCCCGCCCAGTCATAACCTTTTTACTACGGAAATGTTCGTTCAAGTTCACATTCTCACCCTTTTTGTGAATATAATAAATGTAGTAAGTTAGTGTAAAAAAAATAGTACTGAAAGATGTTGGGAGTTGGAACTTATCCCCCCTCTCGAATCAAACAATTGTTTTCTTTTTGTGTTTTATCTCCCCTTCCGAATCAAACAATTGTCTCCTTTTTGTGTTTTTTGCTTGTCAAATACTTTTCAAGTTCGTTTACCCCCAACCCCCTTTTCAAATTCGATTCTATGTGACTGTATGTCTATGTAAGCGAGTTTTTGTAAAGAAGAGACTGAGCATGACAAAATCAAAACTTGTATTTAATAGTTGGGGAATTGAATGTGTACATGATATATCGTTTATGATAAAATTTGTGTATTTTAAGTGATTTAATCCAAAATAATATATTCCGTTTTCCGTTCCGTTCCGCTTTCCGTTCCGTTTTCCGTTCCGCGTTTTAGCAACACCCATTTTCATAATCCCCTCCATACAACTTCACATCCCTAACCATGCTAACTTCGTTGCTTGTGTTATAAAGTACTATTCTTTAGCATACTGGAAAGAAATTTAGAACTTCTTATACAATAATATTTTTATCATTGATTTCTCTTGTTTGTTGTTTTTTTTCCCCGCAAATACTTAGAGAGGGGCGGAACCCCCTTTGTTGCATATCAAATACGTTTAAGGACACTACATGCCATTACAAACCGACAAATACCTTAAATGGGTGTATTTCAAATCCAAAGTGGTTTAACGATTCTTGTGCCCTATTAATAAGCGCTTCTTGTTGTTCTTTACTTAATTCCATTGTGTTAGTATCATGACATGCAGCCTTTCAACAATCAACATAAGATGAAGATGATCAAAACTACACTAAAGGAAATTCTAACTGGAATATAATTTTGTGTCTTCCAAACCCGATCTTAAATGGAGGCCACTTGGGCAGCTTTTTTCAACTGAAGCCTTATAGTTGTCCTATTACACTCACATGTTTCTATAATATTTTTTAAACCCATATAGTATAAGAATAACACATTATACTATGGATTAAACAAGTTATTACCGAAACACCTTATAAATATATTCTTGATTTTGATATAATTTCAAAACTTTTAAATGGCTGATCGGTCAAAAAACTGCTGATTTTTTTTTTTTTTTTTTGTCTTTACCCCCTTTTAAAACTAGAACTGTCCAAACGGGACGAAATACCCCCCGCTGGGTTTATCAGAAGTAAGTTTTTCCATAAGAAAGATACGGACCGGACACAAATTATGAAATTTTTCTTCCAGTGACCTTGAACTTCCCCAAATGACCTTGGGTCAAGGTCATGACACACCCTTGGGTCATGGGCAATCTTTGTGTGAAATGACAACCTACCAAGTTTATCTATAGAAAAGATATGGATTGGACACGAATTATGAATTTTTCTTCCAGTGACCTTGAACTTCCCCAAATGACCTTGGGTCAAGGTCATGACACACCCTTGGGTCATGGGCAATCTTTGTGCGAAATGACAACCTACCAAGTTTATCCATAAGAAAGATATGGACGGGACATGAATTATGAAATTTTTCTTCCAGTGACCTTGAACTTCCCCAAATGACCTTGGGTCAAGGTCCTGACACTACCTTAGGTCATGGGCAATCTTTGTGTGAAATGACAACCTACCAAGTTTATCCATAAGAAAGATATGGACTGGACACGAATTATGAAATTTTTCTTCCAGTGACCTTGAACTTCCCCAAATGACCTTGGGTCAAAGTCATGACACACCCTTGGGTCATGGGCAATCTTTGTGTGAAATGAAAACCTACCAAGTTTATTCATAAGAAAGATATGGACCGGACATGAATTATGAAATTTTTCTTCCAGTGACCTTGAACTTCCCCAAATGACCTTGGGTCAAGGTCCTGACACTACCTTAGGTTATGGGCAATCTTTGTATGAAATGACAACCTACCAAGTTTATCCATAAGAAAGATATGGACCGGACACGAATTATGAAATTCTTCTTCCAATGACCTTGAACTTCCCCAAATGACCTTGGGTCAAGGTCATGACACACCCTTGGGTCATGGGCAATCTTTGTGTGAAATGAGAACCTACCAAGTTTATTCATAAGAAAGATATGGACCGGAGAGGAATTTTGAATTTTTTCTTCCAGTGACCTTTAACTTCCCCAAATGACCTTAGGTCAAGGTCATGACACACCCTTAGGTCATGGGCAATCTTTGTGTGGAGTAGTAGATTCTAATGTCCCTCTGTAAGAAAGATATGGACCAGACACGATTGCACAGACAGACGGACAAGGGGATTCCTATGTACCCCCCCCCCCCCCCCCCCCCAAACTTCGTTTGCGGGGGGTATAAAAATTTGAAATCCCTATAAAAATCTGCTTGCATATTCTATGGATGTACTTCAGGGGAGTTCATAATTTTGAGTTGCTTCTTTTCTATTAATTCATGTACACTCTAAAATACAATACAACGAAAATGTATTGAAGCTTATGCACTTTTTCATGTTTGCTCAGGGCAGGTGCACTAAATTTTGAGTGTGCTCATTTTTGAACATTTACTGCAATATACTACAGAAAAAAAGCAATCATATCTCACATTTTTTATAATTACAAGGTAGATTGTCATAATTTTATAAAAATCCAGAACTATATTCAATTTGAAAGAAAACTCATAAAATAAACTTTTTTCAAATATGCTTTCTCTAGATAATAATGCCACTGTAAAAATCTTGATGCATGCTAATCCCACATTTTTGTCAACAGTCTGAGAAATGGTTCTGTCCAGAAATTTATTGCTTGAAAATGCTGTGAATGAATCAAACAAAGATGATTTTTCCAGTTTTATTGAACTTCAACTTAAAAAGGAAGATATTATAATACATGTACATTGCCTTACACATTAAATTTCATAAGACAACATTACTTTGTTTTCCATCATGAGCTTTTAGTTGAGATATTGCACTACATTGATTTTTTTTTTAAATTCTATCACCTTGTTAGGTATGGTTTTTCATCATTAAAAAACAGTTAAATGCTGTTACTAATACATGTACTACCTTAGGACATTCTACAATCATTTTGGTAATAAAGCCTCATTTTTTAGAATTTTTTAAGGCACATTTATTTACTTTTTTTTTATACTGCTTTTAAATTCAGAGTAAGTCATATAACTGGACATTGTATTATTTACATCTGTACACCATCTGTAGGCAACTTTTACATTAACAGTTAGGGAACAACTGAACACAGTGTAAACTGTAACATAATTCTGGACTTTTAAAAAAAGAGTAAACGAGCACTTTCTTATTGGCTGTCCAAATGAAAATTGACAACATGTACAATAGGACATCGTTTGATTGGTCGACAGGCTCTGCTATTGGGGCGGGGGAGGTTGTTGTCGGAGGAACTCTTCATAGGCGGCTTCTATCTCCTCGTCCATGTAGTTTTCACTGTATGGCCCCCTAAAAAGATATGAGAAAAGTCAACAATAACTACTGTTGAAACTCTTATTTAGGAAGTTATTAGTCCATTTACAACAATGGAATGAAATTTTTTTTTTAAAATTCAATGTATAAATCTTTTGTTTATTTGCAAGTTGTGTTTAGTATTCACTTTGTTTATTCATTTTTTCTGATAATTAAAACTTTCGTAATTTTACCATTCAGATTAATTTGTTCATTTTTTCAAAGATAAGAAGAAAAAATATACAAGTGGTTTTTCTCTCATGGAAAAACTTTAAATGTTTTCTTTCTTTTAAATCAAATGGCTACTATTTACTGACAAATGACCCTTACGTTTGATAGTATCCATTATCGTACTCCAGCTGGTTAGGGTCTGATGACCAGGCCTGGTAGTCGCCGCCCTCCACCCAGGCATTTTGTTCCTCGAATCCTTCCGCCTCCCAGCGTGCGTATTCCTCCTCCTCCTGTAGGTAGCTGTTGTACGCTTGGTCGTAATAGCCAGCCTCCTCAGCTGTTATTGGCTGACCTTGCTGATTGTAAAATACAGGTTCATTCTGGAAAGATAAGAAAATTTATACCATAGCATTTTGGATTAAATGTAAGGATAAAATATATAACATTCACAATGTAAAAGGATTTTTTAAAACTACTATATTGTGGTGAATATGAAAATATTCTGTATTCAATATGAAAATGTGAAAGTTTATGACAATGCTGACAATATTCTGTATTCAATATGAAAATGTGAAAGTTTATGACAATGCTGACAACAATGTTCTACACCAGACTTTTGATCAGAAAAGCTCATTTGAATCTTTGGCTCAGGTGAGTCATATTTTGATCCCACCTCTGATGTTTCGGAGGTCCGTGTTTGCTCTACTCCTATTTTATATTGTTTGATAGACTTTTGAGCTTGAATGCTGTTCGTTATCTCCATATATTTCATTTACAGGCAACTAAGGAGGGTACATCAGGCATTACTTAAACCATTTTCATTGGCTGAACTGAAACCTTAAAATAACTTAGGACTTCATGAATTTTTAAATACCTGTGTGAATTCTGCTGCCTGTTGATAGACTGGTTGATAAGATTCTTCAGGTGTTACAGGATTTGATGATCTAGATCTTCCCCAATTATTGTCTTTTAAATCTATCACAGATTTTATTAAGCACTTGCTAGTTCTGAAAAGAGGACAAAGTTATACATGAATAATAACAGTATTGTAGGAAGTACAAGTAAGCAAATTGAATAATCAAAAGATTATTTAAATACATACCTATTTAGGTCTGGGTAGGTATCTAACTGTCGTATCTGTAGAAATACTTCATCATAAGAACCTTCTGATGTAGTATTTAAATAAGCTGTATCTTCTATTGTGGACCCTGTCAGCTTTAAAGACAAAAACAAGAGGCCCATGGGTCACAGTGTTCACCTAAATACCTCGATGTTTACTTTTCTTTAGCTGAGTTATAAAAAATTTCAATCCTTCATTTAAAAGTAAAGAATGCATATTAAATCTTTTTACTGGGAAATCACTTATTTTTGTGGGGTAAAAAAAGTTTAAAGAGAAAAATTGAGTTAGCAAGGATAATACATGTACTCTTAGACTAGTTGTAGAAAATTTAACATTTGTGGAATTTATAAGTTCATGGGTTTTTTTGTACCCTAAAAAACGTAAAAATATTATAAGATATTAACAATTTCACAGTATCTATAAATTCAAAATACTGTCCTACCTTAAGCAGCTGTGTGGCACATTTAACAGTGAAATCTGTGGGATGTTGTAATAGAATCAATAAAAGATCCTTCAAGACAGGGCTTCGTAATATTCCTATTTTCTCTAGTGTCATTTTCCCACCAACTTCCTTTTCAACCTGCAAAGAAATTCTTTACTGTTCATGACATGTCAGAACATAAAAATCAGCCTTGGAGATCACTTAAAATAGCTGAAATGTATTAAATACCTCTAGGTTGAGAAAGAGCTCCCCTATAAACATTGTGAATCCACAAAGACGGTCCACCATTTGGGGATTTGCTATCATTTCATCTTTCTTCAAATATTCTGCTTTACACCTTAAAAGAGAAAAAAATATTTAGATGTCAAAACAAAAGTACACCATCTTATAAAAAGTTCATATTCACTGTAATTCAAATACATGTAGTATAGTGTAGTGTACATCCTAGACTTATCATCTGCATGTTGGGTCCAGTTGGAGCTTACATTATAGTACATGTAACTTAGAATGGATATGCTCCTTAAACTTCAACCTAGTCATTCATTCAGAAAATGTAGGTCATATGAAAGCATCTGAAGCAAGTTTATCCCTGGATGCATCATTTGTGCAAGTCTGGTCCACGTAAAGCTTTCAGTTACTGTGGAATTTATTGAGACCAATTTAAGTGGATTTTCAGGACTGGTTCATGTGGACATAATATTGTGTATATGTACAAAATGAAATATTACTCATTTATTATCCCCTTTTTACTGATTTATGGGAGGGTATCAATTCACAGACGAGATGTACCTACAAATTCCATGAAAACTGAGCCAACATGAAATCTAATGATTTCACAGTACATGTATTTGGGAATAAACTTGCTTCTAAAACTTAAGGTAGGGCTCTGATGCCAACACCTGGAGTATAGCCGAGCTCATCTCATTTTATTAAAAAGAGCTAAAATAAACATATACAAGAGGCCCAAGGGCCTTGAATCGCTCTTCTGATAAATTATACAGTCTATCCTAAGACCCAAGATGCATCAACTGACAACGTTTAATGATTCTTAGCCAGTTAGGGCTGAAGATATTTAAATGTAACTATAAAATACTATAAGTAGGTCATGGTGACCTACTTTTTGATTGAAATTTTCTGAGGACACAAGATGCATTAATTGACAAAGATTGGTGATTCTTAGCCAATAAGTACTTGAGATATTCAAAAGTGGGTCACAGTGACCTACTTATTGGTCAACATTCTCTGAAAACCCAAGGTGCATAAACTGACAAAGTTTGACAATTCTAAGCCAAAAAGTACCCTAAAATATTTAAATATAGCCATAAATGTCACAAGTAGGTCACCGTGACCTATATTTTGATCATCATTCTCCAAGAACCCAAATAACAAAGTTTGATGATTTTAAACCAATAAGTACCCGAAATACCTAAATATAGCTATAAAATGACAAAAGTAGGTCACTGTGACCTACTTTTAGCTGCAGATCTGTAGCGTTATGGTTTTGTATAGTTGTCTTTGACCATAACGCTACAGAAAAAAGGTGCAATTTACGGCGCAATATTTTTTGCGCACTTTTGGGGAGAATTTCCCCACTTTCCAGCAACGGTCAATTAACTACCTTTCACTCCCTAATTCTAGGCAAATTATTTAACTTATCTGTATATTTTATCCATCTCCCAACCCTCTATATTCGTCTCTACAAGTAATAAACTCGCTTGATTAAAATTATTTGTTAGATTGCTGAAAATTCACTTCAAGCCAGTTTATTGCCTGTAGAGACAACTATAAATGGTTGGGAGGTGTATGAATATACATATTGGCTACAGAATGTGTCTAGAATTAGGCAGTGAAAGGTAGTTGATTGAACAAAGCTAGAAAGTAGAAAAATTCTCCCCAAAAGTGCGCAAAAAATATTGCGCCTTAAATTGCACCTTTTTTGCATTACGGGATCTGTAGCGTTATGGTCCAAGACAACTATACAAAACCATAACGCTACAGATCTGCAGCTAACCTACTTTTGACCTACTTTTAAGTCGATATTCTCCGAAAACCCAAGATGCATCTACTGACAAAGTTTGATGATTCTAAGCCAATCAGTACCTGAGATATTCAAAAGTGGGTCACCGTGACCTACTTTTTGGTCAACATGCTCCGAAAACCTAAGATGCATCAAATGACAAAATTTGATGATTCTAAACCAATTAGTACCTGAGATACATAAAACTAGCCATAAAATGTCAAAAATAGGTCACAGTGACCTACTTTTTAGTCGACATTCTCCCAAAACCCAAGATGCATCGAATGACAAAGTTTGATGATTCTAATCCAATAAGTACCTGAGATACATAAAACTAGCCATAAAATGTCAAAAATAGGTCACTGTGACCTACTTTTTGGTCGTTAATCTCTGAAAACCCAAGATGCATCAACTGACAAATTTTAATGATTCTAAGCCAATTAGTACCCGAGATACTTAAAACTAGCCATAAAATGTCGAAATTAGGTCACAGTGACCTACTTTTTGGTCGACATTTTCTGAAGACCAAAGATGCAGACAAAATTTGATGATCATAGGTCTAATAGTATTCAAAATATGCCTTTTAAACAATTTGAAAACAAATGCCTGCAAAGTTCAAAAAGTAGGTCACAGTGACCTACTTTTTGATAAATATGTTTTAAGGCCTCTAGATGCATCAGCTTACAGGATTTGGTAATTCTAAACTTCTCGGTGTCTGAAATAATGGGATTAAATGTTTTAGAAAAGATTAGCCATGAAATTCAAAAAGTAGGTCACGATGACCTACTTTTAAGTTGATGTTGTTTGTGGACCCAAGATGCACCAACTGACAAAGTTTTATGATCATAAGCCTTAAAGTGTCCAAAATATGCCTCCAAATCAATTTGAAAACAAAAGCCCATAAAATTTAACAAGAGGCCCATGGGCCACATCGCTCACCTGAGAAGTGTTGACAATTCTGTTCTTTACCAGATTTCCCCATTGTAATACATAATGCATCCCCACCCTACCCCACTGATCATAGACATTTAGACATTTTGAAATCTACACTACCCCAGGATCCTTCCATGTGCACATAAGTTTCAGCTTTTCTGGCCCAGTAGTTCTTGAGAAGAAGATTTTCAAAGATTTTTCCTATATATTTCTATGTAAAACTTTGATTCCAAATTGTCGCCCCGCCCTAAGTTGACCTACTTTTGTATTAACATGATGTCAAGTCCTGAGATGCATCAACTTACAAGATTTGATGATTCTAGTCTTTATAGTAAGCAAAATATCAACGTTTTTAATAAGTATAAATTTTGGTCAACTTTGAAGTGACCTTGAGACCACGCCCTTTGCCCCAGGGTCATGCCTTGAACAATTTTTAATCTTCAACATATCCCGACCCTTGTATGTAAGTTTGGTGAAAATCTGCCTGGTGGTTCTGGAGGAGGAGATTTTTTAGCAACCAGTACTTTTGGTTTTATTTTCGTGATTATCTCCCCTTGTTTTAGGGTCCCACCTCTAATTTTAGTATAAATGGTAGCCCTTGGGCCAAGGATACCCTGTGACAAATTTGACAATAATTGGGTTCTTGAGTTATGGCCCATATTCTAAAAAGTTAACGCACACCGCACGACGCACACCGCACAAATGGCCATAGCATTAGCTCTTTGAGCCTTTGGCTCAGAAGAGCTAAAAAAGAGAATAAATACTGTTCATACCTTGTAAGAAATGCACCTCTAAAATTTTTAAATATGGGATGGGACTTTAATTCTTTACATAGCAGCTTACAAAGTCTTGCACCAGTGTATCGAAAATTGGGTTCTGTTACACACTGTAAGCAGAAAAATCATAAGAATCATTCTAAATACATACAATTTAACAATGTATAAGAGGGCTTATTAAAAAGGCCATGAAAACTTTTATCACTTTCTGTAGGGAAAATTACTTCAAACATTCCTGATTATGTTAACCATAGAAGGTATTTTACCTATATACATGTAGTACAATGTATTGGAAAATCAGACTGTCATTTCCAAAATTTGGTATGGGAAACAAATTTTGCTTTTAAAATGTGACATGGAGTACATATATATGTTGCTAATAATATGATATCTGATCCAGAAAATGAACACAACAAAACATCAGTATTATAGAAAAAGAAAATCAACCCCTCCCCCCGGCCCCCTCCCCTCTGCTCATTCCTGCATACATTTCAAAATTTCTACATTTATATATTACCTGTTCAAACAGCATCTCTATGACACTGTTCTAGATGGACTATATTACCTGTTAAAACAACATTTCTATGACTTTATCCTGGATGGACTATATTACCTGTTCAAACAGCATCTCTATAACACTATCCTGGATGGACTGTTCAGACTCTGGCAGCTGTTTCATCTGGTCGATGACCACCCTCATCAGTTCCTCCATGTTCCCGGGCTGGCTGATGAGAGCGGTCAGCGTCTCCTGGAAACTGTTCAGGACCTCCTCCCCGCTCGGTGTGTAGTACTCCCCTATCTGTAAATCCTGGAAGTCTTCATATAGGTTCTGTAAAACAACCATTCTTACAAAAATTAGACATTTACAGGTAAAACTAGAAAAAAAATCCTTCTTTTATCCACTGTCTTTACATTTTATAGACTGAGGTGATTTCCATATTTTCTTTCTTCTATCAACAATAATATGTCTCATAAGGTTGATTTTTTTTTGTTGTAATTATATAATAGTAAAACTTGTCTAAACTGAACACTAAGTATGACAAAATCCTTCCTATTATATTAACTTAAAGTCCTTTTCAGTAATTTCATTTGTTAAAATATCATCTAATCGGAAATGTTGTTTCTATGGAATCAGTGGTGTATTGATTAGGCAAGTCTTTTATATCTGTTATAATTTTAAATCAAATGAACCAGATTTGCGTTTTAAATCTAGCCTAATTTCTACAATGAATAAGGGCTCTAAATTTCAAATTTAAGATTATATAGTCCACAAAACCAATCATTTTAGTAATAGTAAAGGCATAAACATGCAGAAGAAACCCATCAGATCAAGGAAAGGGAAGAGGGGTTAGTCACTATTCATAAAGAAAGATTCAATTCATGAATTTAAGTTTCATTTGAACTCCACCACCAAAATGACCTCAAACTTTGAGAAAATATACCATGGAAGAGAGAAAAAAAAAGATCAAGTCTTAGAGCAATTTTTATCTTCTACATTTAATGAGATATATTTCAACTGGTAAATAAAGGATACCCATGCCAATCAATATGAAAAAAATATCAATTTCACTATGAAAAGACAATCCAGCATTTACATAAAGGTATTACAAAGTGTATAATACATCAATAAAAGGAGGGGTGAGGAAGTACATTCATGTGTAAGTAAAATGAGAGGGGTTAATAAATATACATACAATGAGAGTACATGTATTGTGTATAAGTACTGTGCATATCATTCTTGAACTTAGATGACACATGCAAGTCCAACTTTACACACACATTGCTCAGAATTACAAGTGAAGATCAAACTGTCATACCCTCAAACCCTATCAATGAGAGAGGATTAGTGTGGCCAGGTATATTGTTAAAGTATAGTGTTGAAGTATTTTGTCTGGTTATGTAGCCTGCTGGGATCAGCCCCAGGCGTGATGCACTCTTGGGATCAGCCCAGAGTGTGGGTTCTACTTCTAGCCTCTGGGGATCAGCTCTAGGCTATGTATCTTGTTTACATCCTCTCGGGATCAGCCCAGAGGTCCGTCAGGTTTCGTGGCCTGCTGGGATCAGCCCCAGGCATTATCACTCCTGGGATCAGCCCGGAGTGGCGATTTGTTCTTGCCTCTAGGGATCAGCTCTAGGCAATGTTTCTTGTTGAGCATCCTCTTGGGATCAACCCAGAGGTTTGTCTTGTTCGTAGCCTGCTGGGATCAGCCCCAGGCATTGTGCACTCCTGGGATTAGCCCGGAGTTGTAATTTGTGCTTGCCTTTAGGGATCAGCCCTAGGCAGAGTTATGGCTAGTGTGTTTTTGGGATCAGGTTGGAGTGGCTTTAACAGTTAAGAGTAGGAAGGAAAGGTAGAGAAAGTAATGAGTAGCCCCCAGAGTGCCAAACAAGTATGAGTTTTGAGATTTACATTATTGTATACTTTTTTTTTCTACGTGTTCAAGTGTTTTTTATGAATTATTGATATGTAACCAACTGAACCTCATAAACCTTGTTTTGTTTTGTGTATAAACTGTACTTCTTGTGCTTAAATTCCCTGTCATACCGAGGTGCATCCTTGCAGAAAGCTGAGCTGTGCACAGCAGAGTTTCCTACAGCACCACACGAGCTCCATTGGTAAATGACTCACTTGACTGCAGTATGGACTTTCTGATACATTTGACAGTGCTTAAACAGAGACTCCTTAATGTCCATTTTAAATGATGTCATTTCTTCGAACATTTTGCATGCAGTCCATGCCTTGTGTAAACCATGAACATAACCTGACAACTCCTAGCTAGCACATCATGAGCACTCTGCAGAAGAGCAGTCAGTTGTCAGTATGAACTCTATAGAGTAGACGCATGCCATGGGATGATGGGAGTCCATAGAAATGCCTTGGTTACTGTCAAGATGCTATGAAATCATCACCTTTTGAAAGTTTTCTTGATCACCATTCCATGGCAATCCCAGAAATTTTAAAAACACCTTGCCAACTCTGTAGGAATACAGCTCTAGTGTGACAGGGGCTGTAGATGATACATGCTTGTCCACTTTCAATCTTTCATCCAAAGAAAGTTCAGAAGAATATAAGTAAAATATATTGTCAATACTAATGCTAAATCTATAAGAAAACATCAAAACATGCCTCTTACTACCAATTCCATGATTAAAATTCATAGGAAAGGTATATTATGAAGAAATATAAGAGTTTACATAGCATTAGATCATGCAATCAATAGGAGAGATGACTGGACAGGACAAAATACAGATCTAAACAAATGAAAGGACAGAACAACTGGACTAGCCTCCTATACAAGTGACAGACACATACAAATTACATGTGTTATACCTTTGAATACTGAGGGTAGGGCTGCTGTCTGGGAACAAATTCGGCTGCTGTTACAGAAAACGTAGTCTGCAAAAGCAAGTAACCAAAGAATTAAAGTCCTAATGCATACTGTATCCCAAAGAATTGTGATGATTGATTTGGATAATTTTCTTTAAAACTAATTTTAAGTGATATGCAAATTATCTGTCCATATTCACTGTATTTTTCTCATTTTTTTTTTTTATAATATGAACAGAAGAACTAAAGCTTTCCCAAAAGTTGTGTTATGTACAAATATTGGAAATTATATTGATAAATAAATAAAGTGTGATAATTTAAATTAAAAAAGAGATTGTAGTTTTGACTGTCTTTTTCCTAAATTATGGGAAATAAAGCATTAAAAACAATTTTTGTTAAGCATAGCTAATGAAGCTGCCTTGCACACTTGAAATTATCTGCTGTCCAATGTGCTTAGTACTCAGACTAAATCAATCAATGGTATAATAGATGAGATTGCATTCTAAATCATTACAATGTACTTAAATTAAATAAAACACTCCCTGTAAAATGTTCACATCTTTTGTCATCATGTTTTGTTTATACAAATCATAGTATCCACAATAAATCAGTAATTCATGAACTCCTTGTAACAAGACAATGAGTTCTACTTTGTACTTCTACATGTACTCATGTAAGATGACAGTCTTATTTAAAATATGAACATGAAAATCACCCATTCTCAACAAATGGTTCAAGTTTATAGAACACATGTCATTCTATTTGCCTATAAATGTAAGCAATTTAGTTAAATTAACACTCTATGTATGAATACTCATATGGACTATCCCACACCAGCTTGTTTGACTACCACATTTTTGTTAAAATTTAAAAATAATTGAACCTGAAATGACCATGAGCACTTTCGATATTGTTTCACTATGATGTATATTCTCATAAACATTTCAGTGACCCTTTCCGTCTCTTATGTTGAAGATGTAATATTGATAAAGAGTTATATTCCAATGTGTATGTCACACTGACAGAAGTGGTGCCAGCCTCAAAGAATAAGCTGTGATTATCCTCATAATTTTGCTCATTTCCCTGTCTATAACTCTAGCAATGGTGAATCAGTCTTGAGAAAAAGACACACAGATTACAATAAGATAACATTAATACAGCAGTAGGGCAAACAAAAAGCCCATACCCCAGAAACCTTTCTTTTTTTCTGCAATTAACCAATTACTTATCTATTCTCTCACCTAACTTTATTCTGATTTAGTACAAAGTTGAAGCCAAAAGATAATCCTGCATCAATATTTTAATATTACTGAAAATTTGACCAATGACATTTATTAGACAAACCATTTTCTTTAATTTTACACAGACATCAAATATCCTGTGTGTTGCATTGCAATCACTCAGGCACTGCTAAAGATAAAACTTTTATACATGGTGTTTTTTTCAACATTGGAAGTCAAGTACTACTTTAACAAAAATTAAAATATGATGGCAATGGTTGTCATTATGATGCATCAGTTGATTGTAAACTTCTTTACTTTTGTCCCAAAATGTGTCAATTTTACTTTTTAAATATGGTAATTATGCATCTTTCTACTTAAAAACAAAATAAAAATTACATCTAATATACAAACCTTCCTAGGTACAAATTCTGGCGCATTAACTGAGAGATTGCTTTGGGGCTTTTTTGGTGAATCTGAAAACAATAAGAGAGTGACATATAAAATATACATGATTATATTACGCTTTCAATTGAAAATGCACCCATAACGAGTTCTCATTTTACAAAACTACATCGTTTTAGACCAATTTCAACTAAACTCTAGTCTTTCACTCTTTGTTATAGAATACTGATTACTGAATCAGACTGTGTGCAATTTTTTTTATGGCCACAGTTTTGCAGCTATAATTCTCTAGTTGAAACAACATTAACTCAAATTCCTTGCAAAGGAAGTTAAGTACATGTACACCAAACACAGAGTCAGACCTCAATACCATGTAAAGCAGCAGTTTATTTACACTTTGAAAATAAGTTCCATGACGTGTACAATTTGTTGTTTACGTTTAAAAAAAATTAAGGTCCGAATTTAGAGTTAACAAAAAAATAACAGGAGAACATTGCAAAATTTGCAATTTAACCATAATTCAATGCTTTCTTGTTTTCATTTCAGTTATAGATGCTACCAGATGGCAAGTTACAAATCTTGTTATTATATCCCAAAATTATGAATTTACAGTTTTTGCATCAATAATGTTAATCAATATGATTAAATACAAAATCTAGCTATACGAAAGACGTGGTTATCCGTAAATCAATTTACAACATGTGCAGATAACAGAGTAAATTCGAGATTTGATTCATACATAGTTCATTTCGAAGTTTCTCTTGAGTAGATTGGTGGGGTTTCCTAAGACCGGCTGGATTTACTGGCGTCCCATTCACTTCAGAATCTTTATCTTTTCCACCTGCTTCTGAAGACATCTCAAAATAAGTGAGACAATCTTCGCGAAAATATGTTTCTAAAAATAATAACAAATAATGTTAATTCTTACGTTGAGTGATTCGTGCTTCGGTGTCCTTATTTTTTAATTTTTTTTCAAAGCAATAAATTTTGCTGTTTTAAAAGAAAACTTAATTAACACAGTCCGAAAATTAAGAATCATTCATTTTCGAATTTTCAGGATGTGAGGGAAGCCGTCTCAGATTTTAGATAGTGACCCCCCCCCCCCACTCAGGACCCATAGCATTGTGAGAATTTCTATTTGATCCCAGCAGTGAAGTCTCAGAATAAAACAATACAAATAGAAAAGGAGAAAAAAATATGTTAAAACCAGAATATTTTATGTCGTGAGGAGGGAATGGGAGGGAGTTTAAGCTTGGATGATTATGCAACTGTTTATTTAGCTTAAAATAAAAATATCGATTTAATTTTGATGGCAATTTCAAGTGTATTTTAGATTATGGCTTGGAGGGATACCATGTACATCCAAATATAATAAAATTCTGCAATTTGATGACAAGTACAGATCCAGCATTTTTACGAAAATTGTGTATATTTATTACAAAGATTTTTGACACTGTCTGTCCTCCTGTAATTTCTGCTCGTCCATAATTATTGTAAATATGTATATATGTACCTCTTGTACCATTTGTATGGTTTTTTGAGAGAATAAATGAATGAATGAATGAATGAAAGGGATTAATTATCATTATCTATATATTTATTAAGAGTAACTAAAAGCTTTAGTAGCTTAATCAAGTTTAATAGCGTAAATGCCTGTTCTCATGCACCTTTCATTCATGTGCCTGAATGAATTTAAAAAACGTAATCATGGCAGTGTTCTAATAAATCTTAGATGATCCTATAATGTACCTCGTAAATAATCTTTTGCGGTATAGTGCAACCGCAGAAACTGAAAACGCAAAAATTAACTTGCTATACCTTTTAGGGGTTAAATCGCAAAAAAAAATTCCAACCGCGGAAAATAACCGTTATACGGTATTTAAAAATCGATTTTTTATATCAGGAAAAAAGCCAGATTTTATGATATCAAACATTCGAATTTTTGACATTAGAAAATCATTTTGTGATAGAGAGAATCAGTTCAAATTTTGATATCAGAAAAATGATTTTTTGATATCAAAAAGTCTATTTTTTTTGTTTTGTTTTGATATCAAGAAATATTTTTTCTATGAGGTGCCGTTTTTATATTTTCTTTTCGGTATTTTCTGAAATAAAAAAAAAGAAATTCTTGATATCATTAATTCAAATTCTTGATATCAAAAAATATTATTTGATATTATATAAAAAAATCATATCTGAAAATTATTTTCTGAATCTTGTTTATTTTGTGATATAAAAAAAAATCGATTTTTTTTTATTTTTTTAATTTTTTTTTTTATATCGGAAAATGATTTTTTTATATCAATTTTTTTTATACATGTATCAGAAAATACTTTAAAGTTTAAATATTAAAACGGCGCCCTATATTTTCAAGAATTCGAATTATTGATGTCAACAATTTCTTTTTTGATATCAGAAAATACCTCAAAAGTATTATAACGACGCCTCATATCCATGCATTCAAAAAATCTAAAAAAAAAATTATTAATTAAAAAAAATATTTCAAAACGGAGCCTAGATATATTGTGGCCTGTCAGGTACCCCTAGAGGTTACGATTTGGGAAAAATCACATGGGAACACAATAAATAAAAATGCGCATGATAATCAATGATGTGCAAGAAATTTGATATATTGAGAAATATTGTAAAAAGTTGGTTCAAAAGCTTACCCCCCCCCCCAAAAAAAAAAGAAACAAAAAAGCACCTCTTTCATAGACAAAGGGCATGGAGTCTGTTGTTAATGTTTTTTTTCAAATGTCAATTGCTTATGAAATAAAAATTAATGACTAAACAGTAGAAAAACTGTATAAAATTTTAAATTCCCAAGAACGCATTAACTAGCACCCGCACAACAGCTCCGCAGAAACGCAGGTTTATCAACATTTCCACGCGATGACGAAAAGAAAACTCGAACAGAATCACACTGAAAAGAAGAAAAAGAAAGTCAGAGAAGAAATAGTGCTAGAATCTACAATATCCTCCGAAGAAATTCCCAAAACTCAGGTTTGAGGCATTGAAATTACGATAATCATTCCCTTGTCTCTTTGTATGTTTGAGTAAATTCGGAATGAAGTTCTATACAGTGTGTAAACCACATGGGCGCTTGTTATTTAAATTTTGAATGGTAAATAACTTATTGTAACACCAATTCTATATAACAAAATCACATTGAGTCTGTGCTGAAACTATATTTTCAGTTCTGGATTTGTGAAAATTATTGAAAGTAAGAATATAATATGTTGGTTTAATTAACAGACAAAATGGACAAACAAAGAAAGAGTGCTTGTTTTTTCGTCGCGAGGGATCTCATACAGGGGCCGTCACTTGATGAATGACTTACGGACCCTTATGCCTCATTCAAAAGCTGGTTAGTTTTAAAAATTGCCATTACATTTACTTGTGATTAAAATAATCTTAAGAGAATTGCTTTTGAATTCATGAAGAATTAGGACAGATTATCTGAATGTATTGCTTTTATGGTTGTAGTGTATCCATTTATTTGACAAGGTTTCTGATGAAAGAAAATCAAAGTGAAAGTGAATACCTATTTTGATTTGTTGTGTGATTACATTTTGAATTCTGGCTATGATAAAGTCATAAAATGGAGCCAAGATTTGATAAATCCTCCCAATCCATCAAATCTAAATTATTTCACATTTATGAAACAATATCTTCATATTGTGTAAATACAACATTTCTCTTGATCTCTTGTTCTACACACCTTGTATTAAGCATACATTGTGTAAAAGCGTACATAAAAAAAGTTGACGAGGATTGAACAAAGCATATCACTTTATTTTGCACACAATTGTCTTTAGGAACATGATGTATTGATTGGTGAATAGTTTATATAAGGAAGAGCAATCAAGTGAATCAATTAATTAACTAATTCACTTATCCTTAATGAACTTTATTATCTGTTAAACCTCTTTCTTATTTGTAGAATCAAAAATGGACAGAAAAGATCAACTGTTTGTCATCAATGAGGTCAGTTTCTAGATTGATGATATTCACATTTGCTTTAAAAAGCTTTTTTCAACTTTAAAAAAAATGTCTGTTATTTTGTTTTCAAGATATGTATCTATCAGCTCTACTTAAGTTTTCTTATGGCACACTTTTGTTTACAGATGTGTGAGATGAGAAATTGTTCAAAATGTATTTACCTGGAAGCAAAGAAGAAACAGGATCTTTACATGTGGTAATGATTCTTTGTGGTAATGTTTCTTTGTGGTAATAATTCCATGTGGCAATGATTCTTTGTGTAAACGGGTGTTTGTAATTGTGTTATGTGATATTAATTCTTTGTGGAAATGGGTTTCAGTAATTGTGTTATGTGGTAAAGATTCCATGTGGTAATGATTCTGTGTGGTAATGGTGTTTGTAAGTGCATTTTGTGGTAATGATTCCATGTGGTACTAAGTACCAATGACTGGTACAAAGGGTTATGTTACTGATTGACAATAATGATTCTTCAAGTAATTACTGATGGTAAATATTTCATGTGGTAGTAAGGGTTCATAGTGCCACATGATAATTGTTCTATGTAATGTCACCAGTGATACGCAATGGATTATTGGGTTAATTATATACAATTGAGAGACTCTTTAAGATCTTTTTATTTTTGCAGGTTGTCAAACGTACCAAGAGGACCTTCTGCCAAATTCCTGATAGAAAATTGTAAGAAGATACATTTTATTTATGTATATGACAAATCTAAAGGTTTTTCAAAAGTCAAACTGCTCATAAAGGAGAATTTTTTTAATTAAAATAATTTCATTTTGACAGTACACACAATGTCAGAGTTGAAGATGACTGGGAATTGTCTGAAGGGCTCCAGGCCTTTACTCTCATTTGACCAGGTAAAAACTAAAAAAAATGATAAATTATTTTTGAACGTTGCTAATAACATTATTACGGTATTCCTGAGTATCAATATGGCACTGATTGGAAAAAATGTATTTCTTTCAGGAGTTTGATAAAGAGCCACACTGGACCCTCTTAAAAGAACTTTTAATACAGGTTTGTATGTCAGTCAAAAGATCATATCTCAAATTTTCTATCTTGTTTAAAATATAAATTGTATCTAAATGTGAACATGCTGGTAGAAACCAGTATATGAGTGAACCTGGTAATGTATTTTATTGCAGATATTCAGTACGCCAAACCATCATCCTAAGAGCCAGCCATTTTTTGATCATGTGTACACATTTTCCATTGCTGACAACCGAATCTGGTTCAGAAATTACCAGATTCTGGAGGAGGATGGCTCCTTAGCAGAGATTGGTTAGTTTCAATGGTTTTTAATATGAGAGAAAGCCTTGAACTCATTACTACATTTGAAAATTGGTTTCTCTAACCTCATTATATATCTCAAACACCATGGATATGTTGAAATGATATGGAAGTCCCAACCATTTATTCTCTTACGTCTTGAATTTTAAATATATTTATTTCTTGAAGTTTTTTCTTTAGACCCATGAAGTCCAAGATAATGAGGTTCAACTGTATGTTATTTGTACATGTGACCATTTGTAATGTATTTACCATTTTAAATGGTAAACTGTTCTCCTAAATAATGGTTTGCTACAGTGTTTGCTATTTATGAAGAGGGTTAAAAAAGACTTTTTTCCTAGTGCTTGTAAATTGTAATATCTGGAGATTTTTTTTAGGACCCAGGTTTGTTTTGAATCCTATCAGAATATTTGATGGCAGCTTTGGAGGAGCTACTTTATACCAGAATCCCCATTATGTATCTCCAAATGATGTAAGTGATCCAGCTCATAACTCTGTTATTGCTCTTAACATGGAACAGAATTTAATTTATAGTCCCATGGTCAATGGATTAATTATAGATCACAGAGTGGTATAAAAAGGCCAAAGATAAAATTATATTGTTTCATTTCTAGTAAATGTTAGAATCTGATTGACGGTAAAGGGAGTTCCTACATTTTTTTTTTACTTTCTTTTTAGATTTGCGTTACATTTAAGTTTAATGATTAATACATATATGACTATCTTATTTTAGCTGAGACATTTGATGAGGAAGAAGGGTGCCCAGAAATACATGTCCAGAATCCAGGCCAAAAAATCCTTGGAGACGCGACGTGGTCAGCCATCTTACGAGACCGACCCCACAGACGAGGTGTTCGTTACGATACGACCTGACGCTTTTCAGGACGATTCTTGATAAAGGATGAAACGAAAATGGTTGATATTGTACAGGAGTGATCTATGCAATATTGCAGAACACTATTTATATATCAAGCTTAAATTTCCAAGGGAGAGTAATCTATAAAATGAGAGATTTTTTTATTCAGTCATTGGACAAAGACCAGGACCTTTCTTATTACTGTATTGTGAAAAGGTGAAAGTTTTACTGTAATGAAATAAATTGTATGACTTCAAAGTTACTAACTGTAAAATTACCAATATATAACATTACCTGATGTAAACCCTTCATAATAGACCATTTGACATAAGACTCCCTAATATGAACTTAAATGAAATGGATATTTGAATAAATATTGAAATTTTGTTGAAACTTTTCTTTTTGTATTGCTTGTGTACTGGTAATGAAGCTTGTGCAGTTGCATATGCATGTAACTCTGGGATATGTCTTTGCAAGAAATAAACTCACTTTTGTAGCAGCAGCCATGCCTCGCTCTTACCACATTACTTCTTTGGGAGATGTAATTGAAAAATCCTTTTTATGGAGAACAATACCCAGTTTAGTTCAATGTCATTGATAGATGTATATTCAGTTTAGAATTTGCAGTTCATGTCACCTGCAAAGGAAAGTAACGGTTGACACTTGCATGACCATCAGAGTTAGGGATAAGTTTTTTTATGTCCCCCTTCTAAGAAGGGAGGTCATATTGCTTTTAATACTGCTGTTTGTTGGTCAGTCTGTCTGTTGGTACAACAACAGTTTCCCTTAATTTTCTTCACAAGGGTTCCACATACTGAAATGAAATTTGGTGCACAGATTTATCAAAAGAATATCTAGGTCAGGTTCTGTTTTAGGTACCATTGATCAATTTTTCATAGAGTTATGCCCCTTGGATTTGGTTGCAAATTTCCATAAGCAAGCAGTTCAAAAATTTCCCCCTTTTGATTTGCATTTTTCCCAGATGGAAAGACAGATTGGCTAATTAAGAGTGGATGCTTAACAAAGAAAATACTTGGAATGGCCTTACCTTGAACTTCATCTAAACCTAAGTCCTACAAAGGAACATTCCTACAAAGGAACATGAAAGTTAATTTTACAAATATTCACAACTTTATCAACAAAAAAAAAACATAACTATTTTCACATTTCTGCATGAAAATTCTTAAAAATACCATTCAAGGTACATGTGCATTTACTTTGAGAAAAAAGATTTTTTTAAGTTAAACTGTTTAATTTTGAACTACCTATCAAACATCAATTTTGCCCTACACCTACTAAACCCACAATGATGTAAGCATTGATGTTATGTACATGTATGTTAAAAGATTTCTTGTAAAGTGCAGGGTTTGCTTACATTGTTGATTTTACAGTACATGTTTAACACTGTCAAAACTCAAAGAAAGTATGCCTGTTATATTAACAGGCATACTTTCTTTTCTTGGTTTTAGGGATTTGATCTCATGAATGAAGAATTATTGAGTAGTTATGTAATATTTTACATTGCGTAGTGGATGACTTTGTGGGTCTCTTCATATCTCGAAAACAAAATTAACCCCCCACAAAAATTTGTGATTTCAGTACTGGGATTTCATTTTATTGCATTAAATTAATGCTACATCCTTTAAGATTATTGACCATTTTGTGACCTTGGTCTTTCTCCTCTGCTTTAAAGGATGAAAAATCAAATTATTCAACCGTTTCAATCTGATACAAATTTTCTTTGCATCACTCTTAAATACCACAAACATAATTATCATCAACTGACCACTTTGCCTGCTAGATGTCTCATAAGGAAAAAGAACTTGAACAGATAGAAGGAGTTTACTTGAGTTATCCATTGAAGTTTATGAAAATGTGTTAAAAAAAGCACTGAAGAAGCCATTTGTATACACTACACTTTATTTACAGAATCATTGCACTGAATCAATAACAACTATCACTACATTAATGGCATTTGATTACACTGAACACAACTGTACAATATTTTTTTTTTGAAAACAAAGTTCTGCCTGTCTGCACTATATACCAAATGAATCCATAACAATTCAGAAGCTGGGTGTTCACTATCTTCTTGCTGATGATGGGTCATTCACCTTCACTCATTCAAAGTCCTACAAAGGAACATGAAAGTTAATTTTACAAATATTCACAACTTTATCAACAAAAAAAAAAACAACACAACTATTTTCACATTTCTGCACGAAAATTCTTAAAAATACCATTCAAGGTACATGTGCATTTACTTTGAGAAAAAAGATTTTTTTAAGTTATGTTTTTTAAATACATGTACTTCTTTGGAAGGCGTACAATTTTAAGATTCAGTAGTTAGAAGGTATATTTCTTGGAATTACCATAAAGAGATTTTTTTATATGTATTTTTGTTATGGTAAGTTCTAATGATTGTTCTTAAGAGCTACTGATTTATATGAGGACAGTCAGACATATCTAACCTCATCCGTTTCATCATCTTCATCACTGATCACAGGCTTGGCCTTAGCCCTTGACTTTCTCTTTTTAGAACTTTCTGCCTTTTCCTTCTTCTGCAAATACAGGTAAAATTTGTTCATTGAAAATTCTTCCCAATAATTAGCCATCACTGAGAATTCCCATGACAGCCGACAAAAATTCAAATCAGCCTCTAATTAAAATAATGGATGGAAATTAAATGCATTTGAACTTGAACAAATACCTTTTTGCTCCTATCTCTCTTGTGTTTCTTGCTAGAGGAATGTCCTGGAAAACAATTTTTCCTTCAATTAATACAGGTATTAACACAAATAATCTTATTTGACATTAAGCAACTCTGTAGATTTTCTATGTAGTTTAACAGCCACAATGTGGTTCATGTCCAGTATACTGTAAATGTATTATATTTGGCGTGTACGATATTTGGCAGAAATTGATTTTTGAACAAGTTAGCAGAGATTTGATTTAGCGCATTCTTTAATGTACTTATTTATGATTAAATGTGCAAGACATTTAGCGTTGTACTTGAATTAGCGGAAGCTTCTTTACGCCAAAGGCGCTAAAAAGAATACACCGCCAAATATAATACGTTTACAGTATTTCTAACACCGAACAATGAGGCACCTGTCCTACCTTCCTCATCCTCCTCTTCTTCTTCCTCCTCTTCTTTTCCTTCCTCCTCCTCCCCCTCTTCTTCCTCATTACTGCTGCTGTTATCATCTGAGTAGGTCACCCCTTCCTTCTCCAATCTTTCCCTAGCACTCGTAAACACCGACTTTAGAACTATGGAGTCCTCATAAATCTGAAGACAGAAAGGAAAATTTCATGTTTTAAGGGATTAATCTAGAAGTAATTTTGATATAGAATTTATGTTGTATCATTTAAACTGCTCAAGTAAGATTGACTGCATTTACTAACCAGGGATCCTTCAATGTTATAAGACTGTGCATTCTCACACAGTAGCATGACGTCAGCCTCTAGATCGTCCACACTTCGGTATCTGTGATCCCGGATTCTTTGCTGGAACAGAAATAACATATTTACAGAAACCCTTAAAATTTAAGTCCAGTTTGAAAGAAAACAACATTTATAAATCTCCAATGTTATCAGACAGGTGAGAAAGGACATGAAATGCCAGCTCACTTTGATTTTCTTGAAATCAACAGGCTTTGCTATGATCTCATAATACTCTGGTAAGTCTTTCTTTGATGGCAACTGGAAGAAGGCTTCACTCAGAACTCTGTCATCCCTGAAAATAGACAAATTATCGTTAATTGTAAACTTTTAACCGTATCAAAACCTTGAGCTGTACAGTTTTACTAACAAATTCTTACTAAGGTGACAATGTACAAGTCAATTCTGAAAAAAAGATATCTTTAATAAAGAGCTCAAACCAACCTATCTTTGTAGTTCAAGACGACATCCAGAATTTTCTTCATTATAGAAGTCAGTTTGCGTGGGTTGGGGGGTAACTTCTCCACAGGAGGACGACCTCGCCTCTTCTTTGGTTTAACTTCCTCTTCCTTGTCAGCCTTCCTCTTTCTAGGCTTCTTGACCTTTTGCTTCACCTGTTCTACCTCATCCAAATTACCTTCTTCAATGGCCTGCAAAATGTCAACACAGTGTTAACTACAAGTATTTAACACATTCAAACAACTTCAAATCAAATTAATTACCAAATTTCTACCTGACAGCTGCATAAAGAAACAAATGATATTACCTTGATCCACTGTTTTTCTGTGAGAGAGTCAGAATAATCCACTTCCTTTCTCTGTCTTGATCCTCTTCCAAATAACTTATCTTCCTCTTCTTCATAGGTCAACCTCTCCACCTAAAACAAGGGAAATTATTTTACTAAACCATGGAAACAAATACTTTCTAACTTTAGACAAAGACTATTGTTGAATATTTTTTTCTAATGTCTCAACATTAAAATAAGCACCTCTTTTTCGTCTTTAAGAATCCATGTTGGTAGTTCATCTTCCTCCATCAGTCTGGGCTTCCTATTCGGATTTCTGGCCTCCTCTCTTCTTCTCTCAATGTCCATTTTCTAAAACAGAGAAAAAGATATAAATGAAGACAAGCGAGTACTAGTGGCATCAAACATATTACAGACACAGTGTTGTCTTGCTATTACCTGGTAGACATCAAATTCTTCCTCGGTTCTTGCCAACATCTGATTGATAGTCTCATCATCAGGAACCTCATCCTCTTCCTAAAATGCAGTGAGAGAATAAGTATACGTGTAAACTATATTTGATTTTTAAATGACCACACCAGATGAATGAGTATACAATCTTTAGTGATGAATATTTTCTGTTCATAGCCTTCAACTATGTGTACTAGATTGAAAATTATCAGATGGATTTTAACACTCTCACTTTCATCCATCTTTCTCATTCTATCTGAAACACCTCTACTGACCTCCACTTCCTCATTTTCCTGCTCCAGAATGGACTGTAACAACTGCTGTCGCTCGTATCCCCTGGACTTCTGGTCAAACATACCTGCCTGGATCACCTTCTCGTCCACGTTCAGTTTATAACGGGCAGCAGCCAAGATCTTCTCCTCCACAGAGTTCACGGTCATCAGTCGCAGCACCCGGACCTCATTCTTTTGACCAATTCTGTGGGCTCTGTCCTGGGCTTGAAGATCCTAATTAAGCAAGGAAGGCTTTCTACTTACTCATTTTCATAAATGTTAAAAACAGTGGATCATTTTTAAGACTAGGAAATTAAATGAACTAGAACCAAAATTAGTCTGCAATTTCAGACATACAGTGTTACTTGAAATGTACCTGATGGGGGTTCCAATCTGAATCATAAATAATGACAGTGTCGGCAGCCTGGAGATTGAGACCCAGTCCTCCAGCTCTAGTACTGAGAAGGAACACAAAGTAAGGGGAG